CATATTTTACTCTTTATGGCTATTCGTCAAAAGAGAAGATTGTGTTCGCGACTTTGAAACCTTCAGGGTACGCGTTGACGTGGTAGAAATCCTACTATAAGCAGGAGAAGAAGGCAGTGTCGTAGAACAAGTTCAAGGAGTTACTGAGGAAACAGTTCTATCCGGTGGGATTCCTTGAAGAGCGTTGGTACAAATAGTACGGCTTGCGCTAAAGGATTAATCAAACCGTTCAAGAATACACTACGGAGTTCCAGCAGCAGGTGATGGTTCTCAACATTACGACAGAGAAATATTCCGTGTTTATGAAGTATATGACGGGATTGAGCGATTACATCCGAAAGAAAATGAAGCTATTCACGGTGGAATCAATTGCAGAGGCGAGCGTGAAGGCTATTGCCCTCGAGGGCAAGCAAAAGAAGGGCAACGAGGCTAAGGGAGACTCCAAACAGACGGGAGACAAGTCTAGTGGTTCTCAATCTAAGGAGGAGAAGAAGAAGGGTGATCCAGGGAAGACAGGACTGATTTGTAGTCACTACGAGAAGAGAGGGCACACAGCTGATCGGTGCTGGGAGAAGTATCCTCATCTCAAGCCAAGAGGGTTGAAGGAGGAGAAAAAAGCATACATGATAGCTCAAGGTCCGAAAGAAGTTCCGGGAATGACAGAGCCCAACAGCGGTCTCAACCTTATGGCGGGGAAGCAGACCACGAAAGATGACGACGACCCGAGAGAGCAACTCTTTGTTCTTAAGTTGCAAGTGAAGACCAGTTTGGTTGATGCCATTGTTGATTCGGACAGCGAGAAGAATTTGATATCCGATGCATTGGTTCAGAAGTTGGGTCTGAAGACGGTCAAGCATCCGAAGCCCTATCCATTTGGGTGGATTCAAAAGGAGAAACTGAGTGTAGTTGATCAATGCACTGTCAGATTTGCGCTCCACGAGTCGTATATTGACGAGGTCACGTGCGACGTCGTTCCATTGAATGTTTATCAGATTATACTGGACAATCCGTACTTATGGGATAGATATGTGTAGGCTGTCTAAAAATCATAATAGATAGCTGATCCCCATCAAAACATTAATGATGGAAGTTATAATCTGACGACTTCCAGAAGCCTTCACAATCAACATCGGGAGTTACAATCTGACGACTCTCATATTCTCAAGGAGCCAAGATGAAGATTACAAGACAATGATCTTTGCAACGCTATGACAAAAGAGATTACTTATTGATAATTTCTTCGAAGCAAGACGCGGAACTCATCACCGCGCTCTAAGACCAAAACGCAGAGGTCATCCCTGCGCATCAACACCAAAACGCTGGGGTCGGATCCGCGTTGCAAAATCAAAACGCTAGGGTCGGACCCGCGTTGCAACATCAAAACGCTGGGGTCAAACCCGCGTTGCTACATCAAAACGCTGGGGTCGAACCTGCGCTGTAACATCAAAACGCTAGGGTCAGACCCGCGTTTTTGTGTTTGACTGGTTCAAACAGAACCTGAACGATTTTAAAACCGTATCTCCACTTAATGGGGACGGTTACACCCCATTATGGAGAGATTTTAGGGGGAATTACACCCCTTAAATCCTCTCCACTTAATGGGGACGGTTACACCCCATTATGGAGAGATTTTAGGGGGAATTACACCCCTTAAATCCGTGAACAGTTCCAAAACTGTTTCTACACCCCTTAAATCCGTGAACAGTTCCAAAACTGTTTCTCATGATTGGAGGGCGGTTACACCCCACTTAAGAGTGATTTAAGGGGTAGTTACACCCCCTGAATCCTCTATAAATAACTGAAAATCAATTCAGTTCAGGGGTTCGAGCAGAGGGGATTTGGCTCTCGGTTGGGTAGCAGCAGAAGAGATCCTTAGGAAGGCTTTGGAGGAGATCGGCTGGAGAGAGATACTTAGTAACAAGAAGATCTTGAAGCATCCTTGAGCAATAGCTTTCATCCTTGGCTTATCAACCGAACTTTTAGTTCAAATCAAATCTTTTACAGAGTTCTTCTAAACTCGTTCAGAGTTCTAAAACTTACCACGAAAGTTCTCCACAACGTCAAATCGTGAGGAGAGGACATCGTTCCAGTGAAGCAAAACGTCGGATCGTCAACGGAGAGCAAACTCGACGCGAGCATTCGAGGGAGGTACTCCATCGCCACCGTAAAGAACCTAGTTTTTTTTAAACAAATGGGAGAATCAAATTCATTCTCTTTTTTTTGTAATCGGAATCCAAATCAATTTTTCTTTCATTTCTTTTACTATAAATTTTCCACAAACAATATGCGATCTACGAGAGACGTGCTCAAAAGTACACATTCACTAAGGATGGTAAAAAGTTCATATTTTGTTCGGTATCTCTTCCGAGGGAGATAAGCTTGGGGACGGTGACGCGAGCGAAGAAACTAGTGAATGCAAGCAAAAAGTTTGTCTCGCTGTGTATTAGACTTCCAGAAAAACCATCGACAAAGGATTGTAACTTAGAGCGAACGGTGACTACGACGAGACGCGGGACGAATGAGTTATTTTCGATCGGACGTCGAGACCGGATTCCTAACAAGGTCAGGTGGTGCAAAAAAGATGGAGGAGCTCGAGAGTTTCCTCAGCAAAAGTTCTAACTTGAATGGGACTTCAAGTTCCTAAAGAGGGGACCCATGATACGGGTGTATCTTCTTTTCGGAACTTAGCGATCCTCATGAGAGCTTAATGATAGATGATTCTCATGATAGCACGAGAATAGGAGTGTAAAATAGTATAGTGGAACGCAGGTGGAAGCGTGGAACGAGACGACGAGCAGCAGATTCGAAGAATCCGGTTTTTAGCTCGTGAGTCGACTCATACATGTACATGAGTCGACTCATCAGGTTGAGTTGACTCATGTCTGTCATGAGTCGACTCACGAAACCTAACCGTTTTACCAAAAATCTCTGACCAGTCGACCTGCGGGCTTATGAGTCGACCCATGTGTCATGAGTCGACTCATCTCAGTTATGAGTCGACTCATTGCTGGTTTTTGTGTTTTATCCAGTTTCGGACGAGTCGACTCATCTCAGTCATGAGTCGACTCATCGACAGTTTCCTGATTCGTTTGGTCCAGTTTCGGACGAGTCGACTCATCTCAGTCATGAGTCGACTCATCGACAGTTTCCTGATTCGTTTGGATTTCTATTCACACGAATTCCTATTGGTTTTGGACTTGGTTATTTACCAGATTGTCATCCATGTTTGTACACCTTTATAAAGGGTTGTTTAGGGTTTCTAAACATCATCTTAGAGATCTTAGATCAGAGAGAGATTCTAATCATTGTATTAGGGTTTAGAGAGGATTGAGAGGTTGTTCTCGATTCTAGTGAGATTGTGAGGGAGAGATTTATAATAATTGATTCTTCATAATCTAGAGAAGGTATTTTCCTTCGCCATACTGAATTGTTCTTGTGTTTTGGTTGTCTTCTTCTCAAACCACCTTTTGATAATTCCGCGACCAAAGGGTGCTTGCACGGCGACCCGTATCATTCAAATAGAAGAAGAAAAAGAGCAAAAGACCATCTCAGAGCCCGACCCTGAGCGAGGGAGATAACCTGAGGTTGAGCCAGAGGCAAAACTAGAAATGAAAATTGATTCAGAATTGGTGCATGCTAAGAAGCACCGACTCGTGAAAAATCCCCCCGTCCCCGTGTCCGACGCTTGTCGGGGACGGACGCGCGTTCGACACGCGTTCGACACGCGTCGGACACGGCGTCAACGGCGTCAACGGCGTCGACACGGTCAGCGCTAATCGACACGGCGAAGTAGAGGGCGACACGGCGAAGTTAAGGGCGACACGGCGAAACCAGACTTTGAAACCCAAACCCGAAACCCAAACCCGAAACCCAATTTCAAACAGAAACCCAAACCCTAACCCTAGTCGTGAGAAAACTTACCCGATTGAAGTCGAAAGGGCTCTTGCGAAGTGAAGAGGCGCCACCAGCTCTCAGTCTCCTCCTCCTCCTCCTCGTCGTCGTCGTCGTCAGCTTCTTCTTCGTCGTCGTCGTCAGCTCCAAGGTCAGTCCCCCTCTCTCTCTCTCTCTCCGACTCCGCTCTCGCTCTCGCTCTCGCTCTCGCTCATCCCTTTCCCTCTGGTTCTCTCTCTTTCTCTCCCTCATTTATCTCTTTCACCCTCTCACCACAAAAAAACCCAGATGCTTTCCCCTTTCACAAAAAAACCCCCACGAACGCCTCGTTCACCCCAACATCCGCTGTTCTCCCTCTCTCTCACGAATAAATCACACACGCACGGGTTTCAAAGGGCCTGTTCCCCCCCCCACTACGTTTTTATTTTAAAAGAGTAACAACTGACCTCTGTCCCCCACTACCTTGATTTTTATTTTAAAAAAATCTGATTACTGTTTACTGTTTTCTCATTTCCTGCTGGATGCCTCACTGTTTGGGACTGTTTGATTTGTTGTTCTCCTATTTTAAAAGAGTAGCTATGTATTGATTTGTTTTCTCATTTCCTGCTGGATGCCCCACTACCTTGATTTTCTCATTTAATTGGGTTAAACCCTATTTTAAATTTTCTGTTCTGCTGCTATTGGGTAATTGGGATGATAATCTCTGTTTATTTACTATTTTGCTGCTTTATTACCGCCTTAACTGTTATTAATTATTCTTTTTTATACTGTTTTACTGCTGCTGTATGGTTTTTTAATGTTAACTGTTATTTGCCTACTATTCTACTGTTATATGCTCATTTAAATGTTAATTAGGATTGCTTAGCTGTTGTTTGGTTAGTTGTTCCACTATTGTATGCTAATTTAGATGTTAATTAGGGTTGTTTAGCCATTGTTTGCTTAGCTATTGTTTGCTGTTCTACTATTATTAATTTCTTAATTTATTGTTATTGCTTATATTTTACAGAAATGGAACAAGACGGGAGTTCTAGTGGTAGTGGAATACAAGATGACAAATGTCCGCTTTGAAAATATGTTACCAAATTGAAGAAAAGGGGGGAATGGCGGGAGGAAATTGGAGATGGAGATGTAACTATTGCAGAGAGGATTTTACCGGTTCACACTCAAGAGTTAAAAATCACCTCTTGAGGATAAGCGGGACTAGAATTAAGATGTGTTCCAAGTTAACCCCTGAAAATTTAAGGGAGTTTCAAAGGACGTTGGATCAAGCAGAGGCGAGGTTGATGGCTTCTAGGCCTAAGATGTCAGTTTTGCCTACATCTTCGACTGCAAGTACGGCCGGTGTAGGTGCAAGTGCAAGCATGCCGATTGATGCAGGTGGATTTAAGAGGAGGAGGGGGCCTAATACCGTGGAACAAGCATTCAACATGGGAGCAAGGGAGGAATTGGATGCATTGATTGGTAGGATGTTCTTCACGGGGGGATTGTCCTTCAACTTGACAAGGAATCCATATTATGCCAAAGCTTTTGCATATGCCGCAAACAATCCAATTTCTGGCTACAAGCCTCCTGGTTACAATTCCATGAGGACCACTATCTTACAACGTGAGAAAACTCACGTAGAGAGATTGATGGAGCCCATCAGGGGCACATGGCAACAGAAGGGAGTCTCCATTTGTAGTGATGGGTGGGCGGATGCACAAAGGAGGCCCATCATCAATTTTATGGCGGTATGTGAGGGTAAGCCAATGTTCTTGAATGCCGTGAATGTCGAGGGAGAAGTCAAGAATAAGTATTTTATCCAAACACAGCTAGAAAAGTGCATCACAGAGGTGGGACCGAAAAATGTCATCCAAATCATAACCGATAATGCTTCGGCATGCAAGGCCGCGGGAGGGCTTGTGGAGCAAACTTGGCCTCACATATTTTGGACTCCTTGTGTAGTCCATACACTCAATCTTGCTGTCAAGAATATTTGTGCGGCTAAGAACACGGAAGCAAATGCCGTGGCTTATGCACAATTACATTGGATTACAGAGATCTCCGATGATGCATTGTTTATGAAGAATTTTATCATGAACCACTCTATGCGGCTTTCCATATTCAATGATTTTTCCAAGATGAAGCTCCTATCAATTGCCGACACAAGATTTGCCTCGTGGATTATTATGTTGAAGAGGTTTAAGGTCGTCAAGAGAGGCCTCCAAGACATGGTCCTTAGTGATCGATCAAGAGAGGCCTCCAAGACATGGTCCTTAGTGATCGATGGAGCTTATATAGAGATGATGATGTGGAGAAAACTCAATTTGTGAAAGAGAAAGTCCTCGATGATTTGTGGTGGGACAAGATAGATTTTATTCTTGACTTCATCGGCCCAATCTATGAAATGATAAGGGTCACCGACACCGATACACCATGTCTTCATTTGGTGTATGATATGTGGGATACAATGATTGAGAAGGTGAAGCAAGCTATTTACAGGCATGAGGGTAAAAGGGATAACGAGGAATCTCCTTTTTATGAGGTGGTTCACAAGATCTTGGTGGATCGATGGAACAAGGGCAACACACCACTTCAGTGCTTGGCACACTCTTTAGTTCCAAGGTAATATTTCACATTTTACTCTTTAATGCGAATATTTCAATTAATTTTAATACATGAGATTCTCTTTCCAATAGAGGAAATATGGATCCAAAGTCATGGTGGCTTCTTTATGGTGCAAGTGCTCCAAATTTGCAAGCATTGGCCATAAAGCTTCTAGGCCAACCTTGTTCCTCTTCTTGTTGTGAACGGAATTGGAGTACATATGGTTTCATTCACTCCTTAAAGAGGAACAAGCTAACCCCGACACGGGCAGAGGATCTTGTTTATGTTCACACCAACCTTCGTTTACTTTCTCGGAATTCGGAAGAGTATATGGAAGGGGAATCAAGAATGTGGGATATTGGTGGAGATGCCTTCGACTCATTTCAAGGAGCCGGCATGTTAGATGTTGCTGCCCTTTCTCTTGACGAGCCCACGATGGAGGCCATTGTGTTTGATGAGGATGAAAGAGTTGAATCCATAGAATAATCTTTTTGATGTTTCAACTTGAAAACTTTATTTTAAGATATGCTTTTGAGTGTAATTTTTATATTTTTGCAATGTTAGTAACTTAGTATTTTGTAGTCATTGAACTAGTTGCAACTTGAACTTTATTCTCTTGTATTTTTATATGCTCAAGATGAAAGTAGTGAAAATTAAAAAATCTAGCCGTGTCGCCGTATCCTATTTTTTGAGGTTTTGCCGTATCCGTGTCCGTGTCCGTGTCGTGTCCGTGTCGCCGTGTCCGTGTCCGTGCTTCATAGGGTGCATGTACTCGAACCTAAAGGAGAGCCCAGTTCTCAAGCTCAAATAGGAAATTGAGCCAGATGTTGATTCAAAACTAGAGCTCGAATCACGTCTAGAGCCTGAAATCAAGTCAAGCCTATAACTCGAATTTAAGATCAACATGTTGTGCAAATTCACTGCTCAAACTAATATAATTTTTGAATTTGTTATTTCATATCCTCTACCGCCAACTAATATTAGATTTTACAACTCACATTGAAGATCTTACAACCCATGATGGAGTACTTTCAACCAGTCAAACTAATCGTTATGCTCTCCTATTATAAAACTCAAGATCAAGTTTTCTCTAATAAGGGCAGATCTGATGCAAGACAACCATGGACTATCCAGCAAAAAATTTTAAGATCTATTAGAATAATTTTAATTTTAGTATTATTTGATGTGATTCCAAATAATCTTTTATTTTAGTTATAATTTCTTCAAGGTTTGATTTTTAAATCTCTTTCTAGTTTAGTTAGAATTTTATTTGATTGCATCTTTTAGTTTTGTTATGTTTAATTTGATTAGAATTTTAATTTGCTTCCTTAAACATTTATATGTTTTCTTCTTTTTTTAAATAAGAGATGTTATCCTCCATGAGGAATAGACATTGATGAATAAAAAAAATGATAATTCTTTCTTTAGCATGTGAGGTGATCTTTCGCATGTGATTTGCCACTTCGGACTATTGAGGCCTTGAGTGTGATGCCCCTCGACGTGAGGCCTAGTTATATATCTAAATTCTCCACTTTACATCTTATTCCTACTCCAACTTTCTCCCAAAATCCTAATCCTCAAAGGAACCCACAAACATATATTAGCAAGAGGGGGTAAGAAACTGTTCATGGATGAACAGTAAATCAAAGTACTACTTGAATGCATGAACAATAATTTTCTACTATCCATCCTCGAGATCCGACACTTGCCTTCTCCGACGATGCATCAATCCTTCAAATCCAACTATGAACCACGACGACGACCTCCGAGTATCGCCGCCACCAAATCTCCTCCAATCGACCCTCAATAAATAATAATCCTTCCCCACCAACGCCTCACAACACGACTCTAAAAAATTATCAATGACTTGAAAATCTACCCGCTCCTCCTTTTAGATCCAGATCTAATTCGGGCACCTGACAGAGTTCACACTATACAGAACCTCATACTTTTCGATTGGATCCGATTGGCGCCAAAGGCAACGCAATCGAGAGCCTTCTACTTATGTAACAGAGTTCCCGCCTTGATCTGCACCAAGTTAGCATGTTTAGAAGACATGAATTGGGGATTATGAATTCAATTATGTTTATCAACTCTTTGGCACAAGGTTTTTCATGAAGAGGTACCGTCATTAACAACATGTTTTCATTAAGGCATTCACAATGTTGTCAAATTCGCACGCCTCACTATGCCTCATGCGCCTTGTGATGTAGGACAATGGCGAAATGCCCAACATATAATGCGACAGTCCATTTTGCGCCTCACAAGTGCTCTAGACAAAGGCTCTTCACCTAGGGTGCATGGAAGAGATAACCTCATATATTTTTGTTATTTAGGATTTCAATCGTATCTTTGTATACGATAGTCCATATTCGAAAAAGAAAAGTAAATCTATTAAGCCATTTTACTAGAATGACTGAGGATTCTAACTCATTCTCATTTACTATTTGATTTTTCTTCAATATTAATCCTAGTTTGCCTTTTTTTTGGTAAATGAAAATTTTTATTCATCACTAATATGAGAAATGTATATACATCAATCATCTCATCATTTATATGAGATAGCAAAAGAAAACCTAAAAACGAAAGCTCAAGTGAACTCTTATGTACAGAGTTTAGAAAGCATGAGCATAGTTATAAAGCTAAGATCCCCTGAAACAGTCAAATCTCTGGAACTATCACTTCTGTGAGCTTACTCAAATTTTTGCATTTACCATTGAGAACTGTCAACAAGCAAACCTGACAGTAAGCTGAAATATTTTGAGGTCTATAAAGATAGTATCCAGCCTCTATTCTCAGCAACAGTATCGCTATTTAGAATGGTTGTCATCAGGTCCACCTTGATGATCTTGATAACAAGCATTATATCTCTGCTTTTTTGTTTAAAGATCTTCCCATTCCGTTCAATCCAGATATTATAGATAGTGGATGTAAATGTCATTCTTTTAACTTTGTGCTTGAATCTTTTCCCCCTTAAGTTGCAGCTATACCAATTCAATAATTGGTTTAAATCACAACTTCTCCACCTAAAACAGAGCCATTCCATTATTCTATTCCAGACATCTTTAGAAAATTTTGACTTTTAATTTAGAAGTTAAGACCTTATTTTGTTATTTGGTAGTACACATTATTTATAGTGACATATTTTTTATGTGAAAATTCATAAACATTTCCTTTCATGCTCGATTATCTATCTTGATAAATCATGTGGTGTGCGCCTCATTTCACTCAGGAGCGTGTACCACGTTGTGCCTTGCACGTGTGTGCAAAGGGACTTTGCGTCCTGCATCGTGCATTGCGCATTGATAACACTTGGCACTCAAGGCAACAGTCATGTTTTACCGGTGTTTTGAAGAAGTTTGGAATCTTGTGCAGCATAACCTAATAAACCGTCGAAATGAAAAATCAAAATATTGTAACATTGGAACACTAATAAAGATGTTTTTTCCAGGACAATTAGTGAGGACCAACAAGCTTAAAAAGTAACTAGTTCAGATAGTGAAATCAAGAAACTTCTTGGTCGCTTCTATTAGAGGTGCTAAACCGTATCTGTATTTGAGAAATTATCCGTAATTGTATCTGATAGGATACAAATATGGTTACTCAAATCTGTAACCGATAGGATATTGTTATGCATATAGTTTTGTAGTGAAATATCTGGATCCTTATCTGAAATATCCATATACATATTAGTCATACTGTTCCGATAGTTTTAATTCTTAGATTATGGATTTAAAGTTAATTTTGGTGACCAAGATGTCTAATCTTAACTTTTCAGATATAATGCACATATTAATGAACTCTTATATTTTTTTCAATAGTATATAGTTTTCTCATATCCATTTTATATCTACAAGCATATCCGCTTATATATCTGCATGTATATCCATATTCATACACAGTTTTAGCGGATATGAATATAAATTTTCTTTATCGAGATCTATCAGTATCCGTATCCAAGATGAGTAAGCGAATATAAATATGGTAAGTATCATATCTGAGCTGTATCCAGACCGAATGCACCCCTACTCTCCACTCATGGGAAAACTTTATAGTTAAAGACATAGAGCAACTCTACAGAAAGAGAACTCGAGAAAATCTTCAAAGTATCAAAGTTGTTGACCCTGAATATCGTTGTCATCAAAAATATCAAACATACTGATGGTCTATTGGAGAAAGGCAACACTCCACAAAACTTTATTATTTAATAAATTAATTTGTTTATTTCTCACTTTCAAGCAACTACATTCTAACAAACTTAAAGAATACAAGACAGTGAAACAAATCTCACCTTACCATCCTTAGTAATGCATCTTAAATAAGCATAAAGCAGATTTATACAAAGATAGCTCCAGAAATTAAGTATCAAAGTCAATGTCCCAGAATGTTGTTATCATCAAATATCAAGCATGCTGATGGTTCGTTGGGGAAAGAGCAACAGTTCGTAAAACATTATTATTTAATAATTTATATCTACTTTCCAGCAATTACAACATACTATAAAAGGACACAAGACACTAAAAGTAACCTTACTTTATCATCCCTAACAATTCATCTTAAATAAGACATTTTTTCCATTGAAAGACGTAGTGTCAATCTATATACCGTACGTACAGCATCACATGAGACAGACAATGTAAATGAAAATAGGGTAACTAGGTGCCACACATACCAAATGACTATAAACAAATATTCTCGTGTCAAGAGCTTTTTGGTCATCGAAATAAAGTGTCAGAACCATTCAGTATGTATGGATTTGGTCTAGCAAATGCAAACAAGGGGATTAATTTAATCCCTCAATGAAAGAAAATACTTAAATATATAGATATACAATTAAATATGTTCGAGTCATGACTCAATTAAAGGTTAAATAATTTTGAGTCGATTTAGAATCAAGCAGATAAGTGTAGACACTTAAGCAAAATTAGGTGGGAGCATATGTTGGGATCTAATGACATAGTCGTCATTCAAACTACATATACGTGGATCGTATGAAACTTCATCTAAGTACTAGTTGCTGTAACTGCAATGTGGCTTCAAGCAAATTCAGTAG